TGGTTTTGCTCACCCCCATTATTGTTTTGTCCTCTTGTTTTCCTCTTCCTATCTTTAGGTTGAGCGTTGTTGGCGGCGGTGGCAAGAGACGAGCAAGTGGTGGTCTTTGGATTGTCATGTCTTTGCTTCCGCTTTATCTATTTTTTTTATATGTTGGATTATTACTTATAGATTATTATGCTTCCGTTTTAACTTTTGAAATGTCGTTGGAATCATGATGTTTTGGATTAGTTTTGAAAACTTATGAATGATTTGATTTAATTATTATAATTGATAGACTGCATGTTTAGAACCATCGTGGATCTCTAAATTGTTTACCTTGTTAGTTGATTTAAGTAGCACCCATTAAGGTAAAGTATTAAATTAAAATTTTTGCAAAAATTTTACTCTGATTTTCATTAATAAATCTAGCAAATTCTTTAAATTAAAACGGGGCGTTACAATTGTCAGACATGCAAAAGCATTGGCCAAGTGCCAAACATGAAATAAAAACAAAATTTTTGAATAGGGTTCAAAAGAAAGACATTTAATTATAAATAAATCATCCAAAATCCCAACATATTAATCTACTACCAAGTCTTAGAATCAATAATCTAGCCACTCATTTTGAATTCAAACACATAGACATATTAGAAATCGACATGATCAATAAAAGTTCAAAAGGAAATAAGAAATAAAAACTAGGAATCTCGTCGATCTTTCAATCTTCTTGATTAATCCGTAGTGATCTTATTTTTTGCTTCCCAATTGCTTCTCTTGTGTGTTCTATGGCTCTTCCCCTTGTGTATTCACGTTCTTTCCCTCAAAATAGGGTAAATATGCTTTTTATAAATGTCCAAAACAATTCTCCTGCCTGCGCGCGCGACACGGCCACTCTGACCGTGTCACAGTCCGTGTCGCAGCCCGTGTCAGGTGTAATATCCCGTCATGTTAATTAATGTAATATCATGTTTAGTTTCGAAATAATTATTTTATTAAGGGTTATTGTTCGGAACTATTTATCCAAGTCAAGAATGT